TGCTGTAGATTGCTTCCATTTGTAAAATATTTATGTGAAAAGTTACTAATTTTTGGAAATGTCCAGCTATTTTAACTATATTTTTGAGTATTTTAGCCATTATCTTTCTGTTATAGGCATATAGCTATCTTTTAAGGGCATAAATGTCACTTTACCAAATAATTTGGGTAGGAAAATTTCAAACAAAAGCTTATTTTTTTGTTGTTGGGGACAAAGTGTCAATGAGGATCTAGTTTGGGGGCAATCCTATAAAATATTCAAATAGAATGATCATAAATTTTGTGAAAAATGTTTTCAGACAAATTAAAAAGGTAAATATAGATATAGGATTCATATGGATTAGGTATTTGAAATATTTTTTTAAAAATTGCATTGTAGTATTGTATCTCAAAAATTTTACTGTACAATCGTATATTTGGGTTTTTTTTTTTGGAACATAAAATTTTTGGGGCATTTTGTACAATTTGAAAACTTCTTCTTCTTTCTCTCTGCCTCAACCTTCCCATCATCCCACCACTCCTCTCTACCACATTTCTCCATTATCATCCCCATTCACCACCACTCTCACCATCACCTCAAAAGGACAACCACCTTCCTCACCGCCCTCCATCATTCTCTTTCCCTCTTGCTCCTTCCCTTCTCTTCTTTCCAGCTTCTTCTTTCTCCTCATTTTCTTCCTCCCACTTCCTCACAACCTCACATTTGCTCCTCCTTCTCTCCACTAGATTTAAGAGAGGGGGGATGAGTGGGAGCAGCACACAACCTCTTGCTCCTCTCCCTTTCTCAAATCTACTTGATTAGATCTGAGAGAAGAGGGAGGAGTAGAAGTTAGGTTGGAAGAAGAAGAAGGTAGAAAGGGAGAGGAGGGAAAGGAAAGAAGGAGAGAGAGGGGGGGAAAGTGAAGACCTAGGTTGTTGATCAATTCTTGATTTTGATGATTAACAAATCAAAATGATGATTTGGACTAATATGTTTTAGTGAGAATTTTATTAATACAGCTGCTCAAATAATTGGTAAAATGATGAACAAGAAAACAAAGCTTTTTGCTAAGCATCAGATGAAACTTTTGACACAAATTGGGTTGATCAAATGTCCAGCACTTCAAGGAGCAACTCAAGTGGATTTTGGACATAGTCTCAAACACAAGATATATGATTGGAAGTCTGAAAATATGAAGGAAATACTATAGCTAACCTTTGGACCTCTCTTGAATGCACAACATGCTTATTGGACATCTGACAAGTTGGCTAAATTCTTTGTGAACTCTCTATTTTTGTCAGATGCACTCTCAAACTCTACAACGGCCGTCCAAATGTTTTAGCAAAGAGATTCCAAAGTAGGATCGGATGATGTTTCGAATGCAGAGCTTTTGCATCAGACGTCCAACAAATCCAATGGCTAGTTTTCAACAAATAGTCTTTTTAACTATTGAAGAGACTTATGTGATAGAATTTCACTGCCTATAAATATCCCAAGTGTGAAAAGAAGAAAGATTTTTACCTACAAGACTACAAGATTTGCAAGAGTGATTTTGAGGAAAATACTCTCGTGTGTGAGTGTACTTGTAATTCTGATGAGGTTGAAAAGTGTAGTAGTTCTTAATTAGTTGGGAGCAATCAATTGTAGCATAGTGAAGGTTAACTTGGGTGAAGTTGTCAAATTCTTTGAATCAACTAATGAGAGTTTAGGATGAACAAAGAGTGAGTTTTCTTATATATAAGGTGGCTTGCTACGCTATTAATCGAAGAAATTACTAGTGGAAAAATCAACTTCAGGTTTAGAAGAAATTTGAAAGTTTGTTAGTTTGCAATTCTCTCTACTATTCTTGTTGCTTTCTTTTTAACACTTGTTATACAAATTGAAGTGCTTTATCTTTCCTATCTTCATTGCTTTATGTGATCACTTAGAAATGTTTCACTAGTTTAAAATCAAGTGAAAATTTGCCATACTTTGTTTAGTTGTTCATCAACCTAATTCATCCTCACTCTTAGGTTGGTTTGAACCTAACAATTGGTATCAGAGTTTGGTCTCCTAGAGATTAAATTCAATTGACTTAGGAGTAAAGGATGACATTGAATTGTGGTATATTGTTAATAAAGGTCCTTATGAAACTACTATTTTGGATGCAAATATGGGTAGGTCTAGACCTAAAGTTAGAAGTGAATTGAGTACTTAAAACAAGACTATCCTTACTTTGAATGCCAAAACTATGAATGTTTTGTACAATACTTTAGATGCCAATAAATCTATGTAAGCCAGTTAAAGAAATATAGGATAAGTTAAAAGAAATTCATGAAGATAGTGATGATATTAGAGAATAAAAGAAATCCTTACTTGTTATTAAATATGAATCTTTTAAAAATAGAATCTCATGAGAATGTTGATAAGATGTATTATAGATTTAATCACATCATCAAAGATCTTAAGTTGCTTGGTAAAAATACTCGTTAGGTGAATGAAATAAAAAATTCTTGATCGCTTTGCCTAAGGAGTGGAAAACTAAAGTCACAGCTATTGAAAAGGCAAAAAATTTGAATTCCATGTCTATTAAATCTCTTATCAATTCACTAACATCTTACGAGTTGAAACTAAAATCAAAAGTGCAAGATCAAGAGAAAGCTAGACTCAAGAGGAGCATTACACTCAAAGTCTCTTAAGAAAAAGATGATTTACCCTCACTTAATTGTGAGGATGTGGAGTTTGATGAAAATGATGTTGCTCTTATGACCAAAATCTTCAAGAAACAAGAGAAGATTTAAAAGAGATAGACCATGTAACAACCAATTTTTAAATTCCACCATAACTAGAGGAAATAGAAGGCAACTTTAACAACTTTCAAATAACTTGGAATGATTGTAATTTGGATGATGAAGTTGAAAAAGAATATGAAAGAATTCAAATGGCATTGATGGCTTTTGGAGATTATAAGATATCAATTGCTCCTTTTCTATTGATGAAGATGATAGTGATATTGATGATGATATTGAAACATTTATGCTTAAATTACATGATAGTTTAAGAGAATCATATGCTATGAATTAATTAAAATAAATATTTTGTTATATGAGAACTCCAAAATTTTTCAAAAAAATAAGAGATTAAGAAAAGAAAATGATGATTTGAAGAAAAATGGAGTTGACTTTGTTTGCAAAAAGAATGAATTTGAAAAGAAAGTTGGATGAGAAAACTAAATTTTATGACAATATTAAGGAAGAAGAAAGAAGAAACTTTGTTAAGAAAAAGAATGGATGATTTTAATGATTTTCTTTAAAAAAAAAAAATAAAGTGTTTTAGAAAAAAAAAAAGGATAGGAACACAATTGCTAACAAAAACTTCACTATTTTCAGAAAGAATGTTCTTTGCTTTATGAAATTGTCAAATGTTAAAAATCATGATATTATGTGTAATTATTGTTGTCAATATGGCCATATGAAAAATGATTGTTATGCAAAAAGAAATATTGACTTAGGAATACAAGCAATTTGGGTATTGAAAGACACCACTAACCTTAGATTCAAGAAGAAAAAGGTACCAAAATAATTTTTTTTCATTTAGGTATACCATGGAGAACTTGATCCAGGTGAATCTTAATGAATATCACAAAATGCTATTTGGAGTCAAAAGCATGAAAAGGAAGAAAAGAGTAAATTAAGCAACAGAAAACTTAAACGATGATAAGGTCCATTATGGATCATAGGAGGTAATGAGAGTCCTAAATAAAAGAAAATGTGCCAACAATGAGGTATAATCTCAAAAAATTAAACTATATTATTTATGCCAAATCTTGGTCTTGCGAATTGGAATTGTTTACATAATTGTACCATGTATTCTAATTTGCATCTTTTTAAGAACATATGATGTTGGAATGCATAACTATTTTAATGTTTTATTCATATTTGTCCTATGTGTGAAAATGGTATTCAAATTGATGATTTTGAACATATAAATGCTTGATTGTGATAACCCCCAATATTTTCTAAATGAGTTCATGTCTAACAAAAGAAAGGGAGAGCACTCACTTTTCAAAAGAATTTGTGTTGTTGGAAATCCTTGTATATGGACTATGCTAAGTTATCTAAATTTGACATAGTTTAATTACTAAGTACAATGTATCACCTTAGTTTGTGTGTGAGAATATTTTACCCTAACTTAATTAAATTTAGCATATTATTTTGTACAAGTGAAAAAATTGTGATGCTATTTGCTCACTTTATACTTAAATGCTATATCTATGTATGTTATATCTCATAAGAAAATGTATTAGGTATCCAACTAGTGACTTTCATATCTTCAATCTTTTTAAATAGATGGAATGCATAAGAATTGTGAGAACTCGAGAAAAATTATATTTATGCTGTGAATTTCTTTTATTTTAATTACTTTGATATTAGAAATCTTATAACGAATAAACGATTATCTTAATTGCCTAATTGAATCCCTATAAAATTAAGAATTTAGGAAATATTCTAGAATGGTATGAATTAAATAAATATATGACGTGCATATCGTAAATTGTGATTAATTGCAAATGTTACTAGACACGTAACATACACTAGAAATTTAACAAGTACATGTCCAGTGAGATTTTCTTAAAACTAAATGTGTCGAAATCGACTAAATCAACGTAAGAAAATTTTCCACGAAAATACAAATGAAGTTAGGGGTCCATGCATGAAATCATAAAATTTTAGGCCTTAGTGAGCAAATAAACTACAACTAAAAGACCAAACCAACCTCAAACTTCAAGACTGACTACCATGCAGCCATCACACAAACTATCAGAATTTAGAAACCAACCGAGAGAAAAGAATACATTTCATTGAACCAAATGCAAGCTCTATTAGATTAAGCGGTGGAAATGAAATTTGGGGCGGTGAGTAGCTGGTAGTTGAGACAGCTGTCAGGAAGATAAAAACTCCTAAGTCTGCTGAGTAAGCAGTGACCGAACGAGAGAGTAGCTTAAAGAAATGAAAACTGGCGGACTGAGAGCAAAAACAAACAAAGCTGTCTTCTTTCTCGCTTTCTTTCAAAAGAAGATTCGAGTGAGTGAGAAAAGAGAGAGCAAGGTTGAGAGAGTGAGAACGAAGAAGAGTCTGGTGCAGTTTGGGAACTGAAGTAGGAGAAGTTGGAATAGCAGCTGGTTTCGTCTGCAATTTTTAGAACTTAAGACAAGAGGTAAGCTCCATGACTAACACTTATATATACTGAGTATATGTTTAACCTGTAAGTTGCGCTTCAACTGAGGGAAATTTCTGATTTAAAGCTCAACTAATTCTGGACTGAACCGTGAGAAAATGGAACTCGAGGGAAATCTGATGCATGCTGTTATGCATCAGATTCTGCTGCTGAGCTCAAGCATGAGACTTAGTTCAGCTATTCTTCTGAGTTCTGATCATAATCTACCATGTTTTATTTAGGATAAATTGATAGTAGATTAATACACTCTGCACGATTAGCTGGAGTACAAAACTGAAGAGAAACAAATGGGAAAGCTCAGCTGCTAAGCCACTACCTGCTGAATCTGAGGCTTCGACTGAGCAGAACTGGTAGGAAGTGTTAGGTATTCCCCGCGACCCTTAGCTGCTAAACCTGCGTAGTGAGCTGTAGCATGTCATAAAGTCCTTAGACTTTAACAAATGAGACAGAAACAAGCAGAAACTAAAGTGAATATAGTAGACCTGATGAACTCGACTGACTGTAGGTGCTTGGCCGAAGGAATTAAACAGGTTGCATGACCTGATGTTACTGATTCTGGAATCTTCACTAACGAATACATGGAAGACATGTTAATTCTCTACCTTAACAGATAGGTGTCTTGGAAATCAGAAAACCTAAGGAAGCTTAACTAACATTCGATTAAGGGAGCTGATACAATCTGTTATGACACTAAAGGGAAGGATATCAGCTTTTGAAGCAGCTTTCTTCTAATGTCTGAATCTGTGAACTTCCACAGGTGATAACTAAGGTTGCCCTGTGGTTTAGTAGCTACGTTAAGCATCATAAGTAAGGTTACATTGAAGCAAAGGGAGAGGAAGCTGTGAACTTGTGTGCTGAATCACCTTATGGCCGAGAGAATGAAGCAGAAGGTGCTTCTGACCGGCCATTTTTGACCTTGAAAATACGAGAACTGGATGTCGATGTCTTCATAGGAAATGTAGGTCTATGTCTTAGATTCAAAACGCTATAAAATTTGTCTCAATCCGATAAGCGTAGCTCCAGTTATGACCAAAACACCAGAGGATAGCAAAGCTGCCATCCTCATTGTTCCTCATTGCCTTCTTTTATTTTTCCGGATGCATTTTGCTATAATGCTAGCCGTGAGGAATCAACTTTTATCCAGCATTTCTTCTAATTTCCAACCTTGTAAGCTTTCATAAATGATAGCTACGGTTGTTCCGAGATTTAATGGCCATATATAGTTCCACGAGTAGAGTTAAACTAAAGCAAATGAGAGAAAACCTCATGATAGTTATGTACCTAAATTGGCTTCTAATCACTTAATATTGTCTTCACAAATATTTTAAAGACTATAAAATTTGAGGGACTAGTGTAGTGGAATAAAATTTAATTTCCAAATAACCTAGAGTTTAATTAATTAAAAGGGAACCAATGGAATACTCCTAAGCTTTGATCTTAGAATCTTGAGTGGAAAATGATTTAATCCTAAAATAAATATTTTATAAATTATTAACTTGGAAAATACGTATGCTTCTTGATTTAAGATAATAAAGTCAATAAGTCTCGAAATAAATTGGGGAATAAATATTGCGTATATTTTGTATTTTAAGGTCAAACTTGATTTTAATAGCTTAAACAATAAAGTAGAATAAATATTGAATATGTTATATTTTATATTTGAAAGTCAAACCTAATTCGAATAATTTAACTAATAGGTGAACATCTACAAATTGTAAAGTTACAATGGAATTATATATTTATCACAGGAAGTAGCTGCGAGCCAGGAAACAGACCCGAGGCTTGAGAGTAAATTACTTGGATAATTGGTGAGTGTTTTCCGAATTTATGTGTTTAACTATTTATGTGTATCTAAGTGAAATTATGTGACAAATGTGCTTATCATGAATTATTATTAAATGATTCCTTGTGAAGTGTATCTCAATTGTACCTCACTTTCTAAGTCGAGAGTGTACTTTATCGCACTCGGCTTAGTTGGGTTTGAAGGTCGATAATTGACTAAATGTTACTGTAAGTGTGCATGAATGTAAACCGTATGTGTGCCTTGCCGCATCGGCTGAACTGAGCCCCAAAACCCTCTGTTCAACGGACTATTCGAGCCAGCAAAGGGCTTGGTCGGGTAGGACGGTAGCTTTGGGTAAATGTTTCGGTATACTCGAGTATTACCATGAGATTGGGAGATTATTGAACTGATTATTGAATGTAGAGGATTGTTTATTGTTTTGGAGGACATAAGGAGGTGAATTGGCGGAATGTACAATGATATTGAAATGAATGTATAATGACAGTGAAATGAGTGTCTCTTGACACTGAAATGAATGCTCAATGACATTGAAGTGGCTCTAATGCGAGCACCGTATCCTTTTAAAAGTGATTGTTTAGTGAAGTGTTTCCTCAATTGCTTAATGAAAGTGATTGTACAGTAAAATATGCACTACTTGCTTAATTGTACTGATTTAAGTGTTTAATAAAGGTTGCTTGCTCGGCAAACCTCACTGAGCTTTAGCTCAATCCTTTACTTTTGTTTTCCTTACAGGAGTTGTTGGTCAAGGAACGAACAAGGGATCTTAGGGAGTTAACGTGAAGATTTTTGTGATTGTAAATCCTTTAGTTTCATATTATGGTTGAAACTTTTGCATTGAACTTGGTATTGTAAAAGATTTGAGCTTTTGGTTTTGGTTTATCAAAATGTTATCTCTAAAGTTAATGTAAGTGAGTGAGTCATGACGAGAGCCAAACAGGCGATCCGCTAACTTTTAGAGTATGTCCTAGGTGAAGGTGGGGTCGTCACAAGAATGTTCTTAACCTCAGAAGTTGCATCACTTATGCTTAATTGTTGATCAAACATAGAAGTTGCATCACATGTGATTAATCATCGATCAACTCTTGTTTTGATGATGTTTTGATATACTCCTTGGTAATTTATTATTACATTTTTTGAAATAGGAAAAACTTTAGTAAGAAAATGATGTTTGTGCTTACTTGATGTACTTTGAAAATGTACTTTGTACTTACTTAATGAGCAAATCTGTTTTGAAAATGATCTGTCACATGAATTCCCTTATGCATACTTGATGAATGATTTAAAGGGAAGTAATTCCTTGAATTTGATTCATCCCTTTGTAATTAATAGATTTACATGCTTATTTTAAGGGTGAGACATTTGATGAAAAATATTAGTAAAAATAGATATTGCCTTAATTTTAGGGAAAGTTTCTTGCAATTCCTTCTTCATGTACAATGCCCATTATATTTATTTATTTTTGATAATGTCAAAAGGGAGAGAAGATTGAAATATATTTCTTTGAGTGTTGGACTTGTACTTAGGGAGAGTTTTACTTGAGATACCATAGAGTAGGGGGAGTCTATTTGAATTTATTTGATCAAAAAAATTATCATTTTGTTTGACATCATCGAAAAGGGTGGAGATTGAAGGCCTAGGTTATTAATCAATCCTTGATTTTGATGATTAACAAGTCAAAATGATGATTTGAACTAATGTTTTTGAGTGAGAATTTTATTAGTATAGCTGCTCAGATAATTGGCAAAAAAACAGAATGAAGATCAAGAAGATATGATGTCTTTCACCTAGCATTGAACAAAACCTTGGACATACACTGGGTTGATTGGATGTTCGAAGCACTTCAAGGAGCAACTCAAGTGTATTTCGGATGCAGTCTTGGACACATAGTACATGATCAGATGTTCGAAATGTTGAAGGACATGTTGTTACTTTAAAAAAGGGCGATTTTCTAAAGTTACAAGTCTTAGGTTCTGATTGTCACTTAAAAAGAAAATCTTCCAAGGTGACCTGAAGGTGGAACATTACCGGTTTCAACAAATAGTTAATGACTGCATTTGTCTTAGAGTCTACTAGAATAGAGGATTCTTGGTTGTGTGCGAGGGTAAAATCGTGTTCTCAGATCAATTACTTTTGTATCTCTACTTTTATCTCTATAAAAGGCTAATCTTAGGTTGTGACGACCCCACCGTACCCAGAGGCGTACCAAAGGGTTTAGCGGATCGTTTGTCTAGCTCGCACCAGGACTCGATACTTAAAAACGAGAAAATAGACTTCACGCAAAAGACAGTTCCATTTACACAATTACGTCTTCAAAAGTTGCAAAAACTACTACATTAAGTCATACACACCACTAGTACCAGAAAGTAAATCCTATCAAAACTACGAACTATAACTGCCACAACAAATATATACATCTTACTAGTCAACTTACATCAAGTATTAGGGCAAAATCAACTATTCTACAAACCAAAAGTCACCTATACTATACACCTTCCCGACCGATCTCTGCGTCGGCTCCTGCTAAGAAAAACAAATGGAATGGGATAAGCTATATGCTTAATGAATAATCGGGGGTAAAAACATAAAATCCCATCCAAATAAACATGTAAACCACGATATTTTGCATCAATAAACAGAAATGTAACATCACAATGGTAGGATACAAGTGACTTCAAAGCCTGTTCAATTCCTTGAGCTGGACCACCTGTTGACACTCTGTCAACCAAAATACTCATAGTCCGTAGACTCCACTTACTTTCCTCGTTCACCTTATCAATCCCTGCTGGCCAGTCAACAGCACACAGCAGCTCGAGCAAAATTACTTTGCTTTAACAAAGAACAAAATCCCAAGGTTAGCATAGAACTGACTTCGACCAAACCCCGGCCGGATCGAATAGTTCGTCTACCCTTGGAATCGGACTGGAACCAAACCCTGAGATATCCAATCCCTCAACAAAGGGTATCTCTCAACAAAGTACTCATCAAAATACTCAAGTCATGTAATCACCCCAACAGCACACAGCACAAGGGGGATACTCAACACAAGGCATGTATTCTCACGTATTAAATCAAGAACAGAGAATGGGTTTAGGTCGAGTGAGATAAAGTACATTCTCGCCTAAGTACCCATTTAACATATACAAAGCATGTTGACAATTTATCACATAAACAAACCCAATTACTCACCCAAAATAACTAGCACACAAATCAAGGCAATTTATATGGGTCCACTGACTCTGTCCGGGTCGTCACTGCCTGTGATAGAAGATTATACTCAACTATCAGTCAAACAACCATCACAATGAAAATAAGGACTAAAATGGCCAAAATGGCAAAAACGGTAAAAACGGTAAAGAAACGCATGCGCGCTTGTTTTAGTTTTGGCAATGAAGCGATTAAAACTTTGGAATTCCCATTTGAGTCGAAAAGACAGGGAAAATGTATTTCTATTGGTCGCTACTTTCACTTTTCCCAAGGGTACGAGTTTCGGCCAAATTTCAGCTTATATACCTCTACAAAAGAAGACTCAAATACCCTAAACAATTCAAGTTCAATTCATCCTCAAATCTTTGCTCAAGTCGCGAGTACATCCACTTAGCCCTCGAGTGAAAATTGGGTTGCATGCTCTTTGTATTTAGCTATTTTCCAGCCACTAATGGCTTCATTATTTTCCTCAAATCAGCCCCAAGTCAAACATAAGCAATGTTAACACAATAACCCTTCAACTAGGCTCAATGTCATCCAATTGCAAGATAAGTCTAACAATGCGACCGGAAACAAGTTTTAAAGACAAATGGCTAAACAGCAGGTTTGACGTCTCTTGGCGTTTTAGTCATAACTGAAGCTACGCTTGTCGGATTGGGATAAATTTTATAGTGTTTCAAAGCTAAGATAGAGAACTACATTTCCTATGAAGGCATCGATACCTAGTTCATGCATTTTCAGGGTCAAAATGTGCAATCTCAGAGAAGACAGAAAACTGCCCACGAATTAGGGCATTTGGCAGTCAGGGGTATTTTAGTCATTTCACATGTTACAGTACTCCGATTGATCTGAAATTTTATAGACAGCTATATAACTCCATTCCCTACAACTTTCATGTTTTGATCTAGACCTGATTCAGCTTCTATCATACTCAAATATACAGGTCCGAAACAGGACAGATTGGCTTACAATTTCTGGAATTTGATGATTCAATGCTTAAAACTAACATTCATGTCTTGAATCACTACCCCAAGTCCCTATCCAAGCTCATCAACATCATATACTAGATAAAAAAAACAAGATTCACAACTGAAAATATCAAACCCTAGCTAAGCATTCCACCATATCATGCAAAACTCACTAATTAACCATCATAAACCAAGATTAAGAGCTTCTATCCAAACTTTAGCAAGATTAAGTACAAGAAAAGGAAAGGAAACAATAGTACCTCACCAAGGCTGATTGCAAGAGAAAACCACAACCTTTCCTTCCAAAACTTTACCACACAAAGCTTCCTAAGTTCCCAAGTGAGAGTTTAATCGGTTTAGATTTTGGATTCAACTTAAACTAAGCCAACAATCAAGATTGAAAGTGTGGTGTTTCTTCTCTCTTTTCTCTCCCTAACTCTTGGCCACCATGGAGGATAATGAGGAAGAAATGAAGCTCAAGGAATGATAAGAAGATAGGAATTAGTTTGGTCAAAATTGGTTAGATGATCGCCAAGTGTCGCCGTAGGATCAAATCTCCTATTTTTCTTCTTTTCCTCTTTCTTTTGTGGTCAACATTTTTGGCTGACTTGAGGGATATTTTGGGCTAATTTTACTGAAATAAAAGTGAGAAGATTAAGGTAATAAAGTAGTGTTCAAGTAGTGTACTCACTCGGTAACAAACGGTATATGTCGGTTCACACCGTTTTCTTTAACTCGCACGTACTAGGGTTTTCACTTATAATTTACTAACTTATTATTATCACTTCTAATCACACACTTTTTTTTTATCTAAAACTCACTCTTAACCACCAAATTTAGTACACACATCTCACCAAGTGATCACATGACCAAAATACATGAAAATCCTAATTTACCCGAACTATAAAACTAAGGGTAAAACTCTTCAATCTCTTATTCATTACAACTATTGAAGGAGTAAATAAGTAGTAAAGATATTATAAAGTAATTTAATCAAAATAAGAGGAAATTTTAAGAAAATATGAACAAATTTTCCAGTCGCCACATAGGTGATGCTCATATTGTATGTTACAAAATATTGTCTTTCTTGTGATACTGATCTTTTACTTTGTAATTGAAGTTTGACCTGTGCTTTGCAGCTTGAATAGTGAATAGCTAATTGTATTAGGAATATCTCAATCACTTCTGGATTCAGTCTTATAAATGTCCACAAGTTATGATAAATCACTTCTCGAATATCTTCATGGCAAATCAGGACTAGTTAAATCAAGAAAGGGAAAAATAATTAAATAGTAAATCATTCCATTACCATTAAGTAATAAATCTTAAAGCATTGCATTTACATAATTACGAGATGTAAAGTATGAGGACCCGTAAATTTTTTTATTTCATAATATTTTATTTTATTTTCTCGCATGCATTTCTTCATTATACCCTATTATATTGATTTTTCAGATATTTTTATAAGTAAATATAGTTTTTAAATTATTTTTCTAGTATAAGTTAGTTCATGAGAAATTATGAGTGTATATTGGACGTGGGACCCGCTAGTGCGCTAAGTGCGGTAAATTTTGGCAATTAATTGGAGTTTGGTATTGATGGGTATTATTTTACAAGGTGTTAGAAGATAATTAGAGGTTAGCTAGATAGATTAACTATTGGAAGAAAGAAGATAAGTTTGACCCATTAAAAGTGCCATGTGTCGCGATATGATTGGAAGTTGGACTTGCCTAACTTTCTTTACCTTTACTAAAACCTTAATTTTGACCAATTTTTGCTTCATTCTTTACCTTCTTGGCCGAGCTTCTTGAGGAGAAAAACCAAGGGAGTAAACTTCATTTGCCAACTTCAATTTGCTTCAATCTTGAGTTCTAACCAAGTGAGTTGCAAAATACACCATCAAAGTTGCTAGATAAGGAAGACTAAGGTTGTTGGTGGATTAATTTTGGAGGAGGAAGAACTAAACAACCATCTTTCTTGAAGTGTCAAGGTACCTTGCTTGGAAACTTTCTTTTTGTTCTTGCTAATGTCAAATTAGTGGGTTTTAGTTGCCAAATA